ACTAATTGAACAACCACTTGTTCTCAAAACACATAAGAATGCAAATTACATATAATAGTTAATTGCAAAAATATATAAGTACAATGCCACCTGCTTAATTACAGTAAATAAACAATTACATAAACTTAATAAAAGTGACATCTGGAACTCCCAAACTGAACAGGTCCAGCAATTCTAACTTCCCGAATCTAACAGGTATTAGACGTGTGAAAAGCAACCGCGCTCCTATCTCCACTGACGCTGCCACACCACACGATAATTTACAAAAATATAATGTGTGTACATATATGATGAAATGGAACAAAAGTTTATTTTAAATTTATATACGTATTCAGCTAGGAGTACGTAACATGACGCAAGAAGTGTAACAGCCCACCCTGGAAAAACTCCTCCCTCTCTCTGTGACGCGCCGTGCCAGAAGGAGCATACACAGTCAATAAGGGAATCTCCACCCCGAGGTACCGCACACGAGCGAACAACACCCGGCCATCTTCATCCATCTCCGTGTGAAGCACGGAAATGGACGCCCTCCGGGAGAACAGCATCAGCGTGCCCCCAAAGGACATCCTCGGCGGATTAAGCACTACATGAAAATCATCAGTCAACCCAGACAAAGCACTCAAGTCACGCACATTATGCTCCTGAATAAAGGCTACATCTACACGTTGCTCACGAAGCACAGCCACCAAGCCCATCTGCACAGCCAAGTCACGCAATCCACGCACATTCAGCGTCGCACAAGTCAGAGAGGGCGCCATCAGGAAGGTAATGAGGACCCCACCAACCCCACAGCCCCCGTAGAAGGTGGAGCAGAGCCCCCCACATGGGAGGCAGTAGGAACAGTAGGCTCACCATCTGGCAACCCTGCAGTGGAGGGCCCCACAGGAACGTCGGCGCTCGCACTCTTTGTAGACTTTGTAAACTTCAACGTCAGTGCATCCCGTCCAGGACCTTCCACACCAGGGGACACCACCCACTGATCAACCACAACTGGTTCTGGGGCGTCACTGCCCCCAGAGGGGGCCCCGGGTGCAACAGACCGCATCAGGACACCAGAGGGAGGAGGAGAAGAGACGCACGCCACAGCAGCTCCAGCCGTAGACCCCACCCTCGCTTAATGGGAGAACCTTTGTCAGAGGAACGCGCCCGTGCCTCCCGCTTACGACGGGGCTGGTCCGACGTCGCGACCGGGGAAGGCCCTCTAGAGCCACGAGAGGACCGCAGCGCCTCCGAATCAGCAGCAACCACGTCGGATGTACGGCCACCAGACGAAGGAGCAACCCCACACGAAGGGCCCACAGGATCGCCACTCCCACCTACAGAGGGAGCCGGTCGGCCGAGCGGACAGCACGCTGGATTTGTGATCCTGTGGTCCCGGGTTCGATCCCGGGCGCCGGCGAGAAACAATGGGCAGCGTTTCTTTCACCCTATGCCTGTGTTACCTAGCAGTAAAATAGGTACCTGGGTGTTAGTCAGCTGTCACGGGCTGCTTCCTGGGGGTGGAGGGCTGGTCGAGGACCGGGCCGCGGGGACACTAAAGCCCCGAAATCATCTCAAGATAACCTCAAGATACACACGATGGAGCAGCTTCCACAGACGTACCTGACTCCATGGCAGCAACATCTGAAGCCCGATGAACCTCCGCAGTGACGACGTGCACAGGAAGTGAGGGCTGCTGAACAGCCAGAGTAGGATCAGTCGAATCAGAAGGCACCAACGACGAGGAGGGGCCGTGGGGGGACAAACACGGTCTCTGCAACACTTGGCTTGGCCCCCCAACCCCCAAGGGGGGAAAATCACCCTCCTGGAAGATAGCTGGTTCCCCCATCCCGTAAGCAGTGCAACCGGCCGCAAGATGCCCTCGCAAACCACACTGAAAACAGGTGCGTGGTTGATCCTCATAGAAAACCCGCATGTTAAAGCCGTAGAACTTGACCTGAGAAGGAATATCACGCGTCAAGCGCATGCCAAGGGTCCGCACATTGGTCCTCAAGCCCAACAGGCGGCCTGGGCGAAGGCAGGTTATACGGTGAGTGAACACAGTACCGTACCGAGAGAAGCAGGTGCGAAGGACCTCCTCGGGAAAGTCCAAGGGAACTCCATGGATGCTGACAAACGTCGGCGCCACACACCGGTCCGACACCTCCACAGTACCAGCAGAGCCCGGGAGCAGATGAGAACGCCCAGCAAAATCACTCACAAAACGCTGATATGGACCAGGGGCAGAGAACTTGATCACCACACGCTTGTCAGAGATCTTTTCAAGGCCGTAAACAGTGTGCAGGTCCACCTGGAAAACATCCAAAAGCGTCACTTCCACCAACGTCCAATCAGCAGCCGCCGAGAACTCCAATCCTGCGGAATCCACCCTCCGAATCCGCGTCACCGACGACGCCATAACGCCAGCTGCCCCTACAGGCTAGCCGGCACACCACACACCAACAACAGCGACCTGCTCGCACCAGACGTCAACCAACAACTGAGAGAGCGCCAACGCCGTGACCGCACCCTGCAACGAGCAAGCAGCCAGTCCCTGGAATTAAAACAAAATCATAACCCAAATATTGCCGGAACAACCGTGGACATCTTCAAGAGAAAACTAGATTGTTTCCTCCAAGGAGTGCCGGACCAAGGGGGCTGTGGTGGGTATGTGGGCCTGCGGGCGGCTCCAAGCAACAGCCTGGTGGACCAAACACTGAAAGGGAGTAGAGGACCTCCCAGAACCCAATCAACCAGGTACAGCATTGCCTGCTAACTTTTGTGTTCCAGCAGACAGTTAAATTGTGTTCCAGCAGACAGCTGCATGGTGTTCCAGCAGACAGCTGCATGGTGTTCCAGCAGACAGCTGCATGGTGTTCCAGCAGACCTGCAAGGTGTTCCAGCAGACCTGGATAATACTACTTACACCTGAATATAACAGTGGGTTACAAACGGTCGCTACAGCAAGTGTGGACATCCTTAATATGCTAAGTAGCACCTAACACAAAGAGCAATATAATATTACAATATTTAACGCTTATTAGCCATAATGAGGAATATTTCATATCTTTTAATACAATACTGACATATGAGGAAATGATAACGCATTTGAGACGTATTGACACAGGTTCGAAGCCTCATCACGGCTCCGGTGGATGTTCTCATTGATATATGACGATGATGTGATATATATGGCATATAAGACGTACTTTGACCATCGCAGCCTTCACCACATTAATGTACAATGTACATTTATAATGGGTATATTTATATTAGGGGGGGGGGTTATTACACACCTTTCCAGTCCTCTGGGCTCTAGGAGACTCGAACCTTGAACCCACCGCATGTGTGTGGGAACCGACCTGTGAGATTTATATTTATTTAATTTATATGAATTTATATAGAATTTATATTTACGTTAATTTATATACTTCGATAGCAATTTGTATGATGATAAGTGGACTGTATTTCTGCAATAATCTCATAATCTCACAAATCGATCCTCTACACATTAGGGGGGTTTATTAAATTTATATATATGCAGCCAATCAAACTACAGTATTAGACTACATACATTATTAAACATTGAAGAGGTTCCTTATCTTATTTGTACAGCAGGCCTTAGTCCACCAGGTATAACCAGGATGTAGACACCACATTTTCCCTCTTTGAGGTAGCTTCCAACACCCTGGTAACTGATGCACAAAGCATGCTTCCTCGTCTTGACTTGTCAAAAGGGCGCTAGCTGTAAAGCCAGAATCCTAGTATATGACAGGTATATCAGAGAACACTGTACATGGAACAATGAAGACCTGGCTTAATTGCCTTTAGTTTGAGGCTATCTCGTGCTCTAACCGGCTAACCCTATATCCACTGACATTAATGGCCATAAATGAAAGATAAACGGGTTTCGGAAAGGCACTTCCCTTGAAATTGATGACAGCGTGTTGATGATGGCAGATCACTACTCTGATCTTCCATAACACTTCGTCCAAGAGAATTAACAGGAGCCGAATTTGCTCCCGTGAGCCTCTGTGGTCTCAATATAAACAATGGCAATGGCTGCCCTCCCTCACCACTGACGCCTGGCTTACATTGTCCAGATGACAGAAAGTGATAGAAGGGTCACATTTACTCTTCTTTAATACTGATAATTATGTTAATTTATATGAGATGTTTTTATGATGGTAAAGTCCAAAGACTAATGTATTTAAGAATAATTCCCACCATAATAGGTGGTAAATTTATAATAGTATGTGGTAATGATATCCCGTATTCTATAGACAGAATGTTCCACTACAAGTTACATTTTCTATGGGTAACTTGTTCATACAGCAATTATTATCTGTCTGTATGATATTATTAAATGGTGTCGGATTTTCCGACAGTGTGAGAGGCCGATGCTCTATCGAACGAGCTATTCAGTGGTCTTAATAAGGAAAACACTTTTTTTTATTAATGACCTTTTTTCAGTTATTACTTTAAGCAGCTACTTCGTTTGGACAGCTTTGGTAATCTTCAAGAAAAGAAGTTCACTACAGCAAGAGTGGTAAGGTAGAACCCCCCCCATCCCTCAGGACATACAATGGCTCGTGGCTGAGTGGACAGCGCTCGGTGGTTGTAGTCCTAAGGTCCCGGGCTCGATTCCCGGCCGAGGCAGAAACAGGCAGTTTCTTTCTCCTAGTTTTCCCTGTTCACCTAGCAGTAAATAGGTACCTGGGAGTTATAAACAGCTGCTACGGGCTGCTTCCTGGGGGTGTGAGTCTGTGAAAATTATATTGATTTGAAAGAGAAAAAATAGTTCGGAAGTCAGTTCATTAGACTTCGGATGGTTAGAGAGGCGGGGTCCAAGAGCTAACAGCTCAATCTTGCAGGTGCAAATAGTAAAGAAGCACACATTGCCACTGGTTCGAGTCTTCAGTAGGGCACTAAACTTAGAAACTTAGAAGAGTAAGGCGCTGAACTTGTCTATCCGCTCTAATGCCTTAAGCAGCCTACTGAACCTAGAAACTTTGAACCCATCACATGTGGGCGTGATACATGCTGGGCGTGATACATGTGGGCTTGGTGCATGTGGGCATGATACATGTGGGCGTGATACATGTTGGGCGTGATACATGTTGTGCGTGATACATGTTGGGCGTGATGCATGTTGGGCGTGATACATGTTGGGCGTGATGCATGTTGGGCGTGATGCATGTGGGCGTGATACAAGTGGGCATGATACATGTGGGCGTGATGCATGTGGGCGTGATACATGTGGGCGTGATGCATGTTGGGCGTGATGCATGTGGGCGTGATACATGTGGGCGTGATACATGTTGGGCGTGATGCATGTGGGCGTGATACATGTGGGCGTGATGCATGTGTGCGTGATACATGTCGGCGTGATACATGTATGACTAACATGTATCACGCCCACATGAGATAATGCCCCCCCCCCCCTTCTCCTACCCCCCCCCCCCGTGGGAGTTTGAACTTGGACCTTTTAACATATAGATCCAACTTTAAGTAATTTTACCGTAATACTACCATGAATGAAATAAAATATTAGTATAAAATAAAAATAAAGTACAATAAAATATAATAACTAAATAATAAAAACAATAAAGTATTTTATTATTCACGTTTATTATAAAATGAATGAAATGAAATTGTATTACCGTAAAGTCACTTCTGGGCCGCCCCCTGGTACTGCTGCTCTCAGTGTCGCTCGTCAAGCAACTGACATTATTCATTACTGTCCATTACTTCAGTTATGGCCACTAAAATAGAGGTCTAGGAAGCAAGGTTTTCCAATGTTAACTTCAGTAGCCTATGCCAGATCGTTCGCCGAGAA